AAATCAGCAACAATATTATTGGCGCCACCACTGCCTTGATTACAATAGGCATAAACATGAGCCAGTTCATCCAAGTGTGGCACTAGTTGAGTATTGGGACAAACACAGTGATTGTGGAAATTAAATGTATGCTTGAGTTGACCAGAATATATGAGTCGACAAACATTATGGGTTTTAATAGATGTATCTGAACTGATATCAGATATTATAAACACAATTATACAACAATTTATTATTAAAAACGGTTTCATATTTGAAGATAATTTTCAATACATTCAAGCATTAATGAATAAAATCAAATAATACAGTAGCTTATATACTGTATTTTTTACTTATATTAAAACTTATGATAATTATATACTTATATATTAAGTATATTGTAACGTTATATTGTTATAGAAATTATCTTTAAGTTATAATATTTTTTTAGTAAAATCGTATTGAAAAATGTAAGATATCAATAGTTTTTTTTTGTAATAATGTAATATATGTGATTTATTAATATACTTAATAAATATTAATTTTTACAGTTGTTTTCATGTTATATTAAGTTACTGATTAAACAATTAAGATTTATCTAATAAATGTATGTGTAATTTTAATTTTTTAAAGCATATATTATATAATTTTTTAAAAACATTTATTACCTATTTTTGAATATTTTGTTTCTAAATATAACTAATAAAAATAATAGTTCAATAAATTAAATGCTAACATTATTTTAAATTTATTAAACACATATTGTAACTATAGTTGGTATCTAAACAGGTAGTAACCTTATCAATTGATAATTATAGAAAATATATATTTTACTTAATATAAGATATTACTTTCTAAATATGTATAATAATATTATTAATTAAACATAAATATTGTATATTTAAAATAAATTTATTTAATTTAAAAGATGGATTATAATTTTTATAAATTTAGTATCCAACTCTACTAAATATAATTAATAAACTATAATATATTCAGTAGAGTTGTATACTATTTATAAAAATACTATTTTTTAATTAAAGTTTATTTTAAATATAGTAATAATTTGATATTTACTTAAAAAATAAAATAAATATTTTATACTTACAATAGTAGAAAACATTAAGTTTAAAACAAAATTAATAATTATATTTTAATAATTTTATTATTTCATATATAGAAAAATATTACAGTATAGTCATAACACCAATCCTTTATAATTATTTTTTGTTTTTCTATGCAATATATATTTAGATATTAAAAAATAAATAATTGAATTAAATAATACACCTAAAAGTTGTCGTTATAATGATATACTTATAATGATGACTAGTTGTAATGTTTGAACATTTGTTGTAAACTACAATATTTTTTGAACTGTATTTTTGATTATATCTATTAAATCTACTATAATGTTTCTCACGCTATTTTTTATAGACATATAAATTATATTAATGATTAGACACTATTATTTTATATTAATACATAATTTTACCAGTAATATATAGCTAATCAGGGTTGCGAAAGAGGTTTTTATAAGCCATTTTATATTACATATTTGATATGTTATCGTAACATATTGTTGGATTTTTTTATTAATGATTAACAAATATTTAATTAGTAATTTTAGTTAACAAAATTAGATAAAATAATTTTTTAGTTGTTTCCCTAGTATTAACGACTTGTAATTAAATAGCTAGGTAAACTAGCAATAAGTGATAAATTAATATTAGCAAATAATTTTATTATTACTACTATTAATAAGTTTGCAATTATTAAGTTTTAATTTTAAAAATTACATAAATAAAGTTTTAAAGTATTTAATATATAACTAATCTATCATTGATTTCATCAGATTTCGTAGTTATTATTCAAACTAATCTAATATATTCATAAAAATAATTGTTATATAATTATTAACTTACATTTATTGAAAAACAGTGATTTAACTGTAAGACTGTAAGTATGAATTGTGAAGTATTTTAACTTTATTTGAAAGTATTTTATTTTAAATATTCAAAATTATAAGCAAATTAATTGAAAATTATCAATATTTAACGTATATAAATTAACAAAACAAATAATTATTTTTAAATATTAAAAATGTAAAAATTTTGAAATCAATAATCTCTTTTTATATAAATAAGTTATAAATTTTATTTAATATATCAAATGTACAGTACTTTACAGTTATAAATGTTTTTTGAATATAAATTTCTATTCAACTTTTATTTACTTAGCAATCTATTGTATAGTATATTAAATTATAGATCGTTTTTGAATATTAATTTCAAACATTTTTTACTTAGCAATCAATTGTTCAATAACTTGATGGACCAGTTTGTGATGTGTGTTAAACGGGTAATGACCGGCGCCTTTAATTTTAATCACTCGTAGCCATCGATGATCATCATTGTCACCAATTGGACGTATAGTTATTATATCTTTGTTGTTGTAGCCGTTGTCGTTGTCGCCATCATATACAACAATGTTATCTTCAGTGGCACCCAATATATCCAATAGATTTTCATAGATTTCTTGTTTGTGATACCGATCGGCTAAACCAAAGACAGCGACTGTCGGTATTTGGTTTTCAGCTAATTGTCTGATTCGTTGGACAATTGTACCCTCGGTATCAAATAAACAATAGGCTGCCATCAACATTGCAAATTGATCAAAGTCGGCCAATTTACTGCTAAGTCCAATGTAAGGTAACAATCGGCGTACTGGAGTCGGTAACGAAGCCGACCATCGACTACGAAAAAATCGGCGAATGGACGGTACGCGCATCAGATTAGTCACAGTGCCGGCAAACATTTGGCCAAACTGTGTAGATAGTATGGGTCCCGGTGTTGACAATAGGCAGACACTATTGATTTTCAAAGTATCTACCGGTTCAGTAATTGATGACCAGAAATATGCTGCGGTTGTTACAGACGCCGAATGACAAACAAGACAATCAATTTGTCGGACATTCAGTTGTCTGAGTAAGTCTTTCAGATACTGTGACCGCTCTTCACTTGAATGCCAAAAATAATTTAGACGATCGGTGTCCGCAAAACTCGGAAAATTCGGTACAATTAGTCTAACGTTTTGTCTGTTGTCATCGTCACCACCGAAATGTTTGATTAAGCGACCAAAGTCGCGATGACTGCCCGGAAACCCATGCATTACCACAATTGTCGGACAATCTGCGGCAGCGTAAGGATTAGTATCCACGTATTCAACATTTACTTTAACACCCGTTTCGGGCGCCAATTGGATGTACCACTTGTTGCGAAATTTTTGTTTGTTGTCTTCTTCTACATCGCTATAGTAGTCATCTAAATGTTTTCGGTCGTACAATGATTGACACGTAGTCAACGACATGCGATACACGTGTTGTTGTTTAGATAACGAGGACAACGATTGATGACTTGTAGCTGCCATACGAACTACTGTACCAAAAGATATATTGATTGTACGGCTATTTATTGCCAACCGTTTTGCCAAATGTGTTGTTTTTTGTGTTATTAATTTTTTCAAAAGCATTTTTTGACAAAAAATATTTAATTTATTTTTTATAAAAAAAATAAATAAAAATAAAATTGTTTTATTATATTAAACAACTTTCTATTTGCTAAGTAAAGTTTGATATGAAATCAATTACTATGTTATGAATAGAAACTTGTAAAAAATATTTTTTTTAAAAAACAATTAAATAGTTATAATTGAAATTTTTTAGATGTATTAAATTTTTGAATGATTATGTAAAAAAATAATAATACTTTTTTTTACAAATTATTATTTTTCAATTGACCTTCACTATACATCATAAATTTATAATTTATATATTTAAGATTATAGTAATTGTTTTTTAAATAAAAATAAAGTATTAATATAATAAATAAATTTAAATATTTTTTATAATTTATGAACATTTAATCAAAACAATTTCAATAATAATTAGTTATTTGGTGTTAATATATAAAAATGAGTTATATAGAAATAAATAAAAGTATTTACAATTAATATATAAAGTTTTTGTTGGTGTTTTTAAGTAATTGTTTGATTTTATTGATGTCGATGGATAATCTATAATACAAATTTATAATTTAGTAATAATTTATTTTTAAATAATTTAATAACTCATCTATTAATATTAAAGATACTGCTGCTTTTAATGATGCTCCTACTAATCCTAAATTATTTTTAATTGTACCAAAAAACCAATTTATAATATAATTGGTTTGTATTATTTACATACTATTATTAATAGTAGCAATTATAGCAGATTTATTAATTTCAACACATAAATCACAACATTTTCTTAATTAAAATTTATTATAATTATTATAGTAATAATATTGAATGTTTTGTTCAATATGGACACTCTTGTTATTTGGGAAATAATGTAAAAATTAAATATTTTAATTACTAATAATTCAAATATAATATTATTGTGTTATGTATTGTAGTGCTATTTTTAATAAAATAAACTTTGGAAAATAATATATTATTATTAAATATTAATATGTTTATTATTATAAAGATTTGCTAATGTGAGTTATTGTAATATTTTTTTCTAAATATATATAATTTATATAAACTATAAAATTATAAAACTATTATTATTAAAATTATTGCGAACTTAATGTTTTCTACTATTGTAAGTATAAAATATTCATTTTATTTAATTTTTAAGTAAATAACAAATTATTACTATATTTTAAATAAACATTAATTATAAAATAGTATTTTTATAAATAATATAAAACTCTACTGAATATAGTATAGTTTAATAATAATTATATTTAGTAGAGATGGATACTAAATTTATATAAAAAAATATAATTCATTTTTTAAACTAAATAAATTATTTTAAATATACAACTTTAATTAATAATATTATTACATATTTAGAAATGAACAATTTCAGTTTTTTATAAATAATTTATAAATTTAATTAAATGTAATTTAATTATCTAATATTCTTTAAATTAAATTATAGATTATTTTGAATATTAATTTCCAACAATTTTTTATTTAGCAATCAATTGTTCAATAAATTGATGGATCAGTTTGTGGTGTGTATTAAACGGGTAATGACCGGCGCCTTTAATTTTAATCACTCGTAGCCATCGATGATCATCATTGTCACCAATTGGACGTATAGTTACTGTATCTTTGTTGTTGTCGTCATCGCTATCATATACGACAATGTTATCTTCAGTGGCGCCCAATATATCCAATATATTGTCATAGATTTCTTTTTTGTGATACCGATCGGCTAAACCAAAGACAGCGACTGTCGGTATTTGTTTATCAGCTAAATGTCTGATTCGTTGGACAACTGTTCCCTCGGTATCAAATAAGTAGTAGACTGTCATCAATAATGCAAAATCGTCAAAATCCAATTTACTGCTAACTCCAATGTAAGGTAACAATCGGCGTACGGAAGTCGGTAACGAAGCCGACCATCGACTACGAAAAAATCGACGAATGGACGGAACGCGCATCAGATTAGTCACAGTTCCGGTAAACACATGGCCTAACTTTGTGGCTACTTTGGGTCCCGGTGTTGCCAATAGGCAGACACTATTGATTTTCAAGGAATCTATCGGTTCAGTAATTGATGACCAGAAATATGCTGCGGTCGATACCGAAGCCGAATGACAAACAAGACAATCAATTTGTCGGACATTCAGTTGTCTCAGTAAGTCTTTCAGATACTGTGACCGCTCTTCACTTGAGTGCCAAAAATAATTCAAACGATCCGTGTCTTCAAAGTTTGGAAAATTCGGTACAATTAGTCTTACGTTTTGTTTTCCGTTGTCATCGTCGCCACCGAAATGTTTGATTAAGCGGTCAAAGTCTCGATAACTGCCCGGAAACCCATGCATTACCACAATTGTCGGACAATCTGCAGCAGCATCAGGATTGGTGTCCACGTACTCGACATTTACTTTAACACCCGTTTCGGGCGCAAAACGGATATACCATTTGTTGCGATTTTTTTGTTGGTAGTCTTCTTCTGCATCGCTATAGTAGTCATCTATATGTTTCCTATCGTACAATGATTGACACGTGTTTAACGACATGCGGTATACGTGTTGTGATGACGAAAACGATTGATAACTTGTAGCCGCCATACGAACCGCACCGACAGATATATTGACAGTCCGGGTATTTATTGGCAACAATTGTTTTGTTATTTGTCTTATTAATTTTGAAAACACCATTTTGGATAAAATAATATTATTAAAGATATAAAACTAAATTAAATTGCTTAAAAAAATGTTTATGTTAAGTTTAATTCAAGTTTAATTGCTAGGTAATCATGAATTGAGTATTAATATTATATTTAGTTCAACAATAAATAGAAAAAAACAAATTTCAAAATTAAATGATCAGTAAAAATTATTTGATTTTTGATTATTTCAAAACAAATAACTAGTGATTCATTAGTTTAGTTAAAAAAATAAAATTTTATATATTAAAATATTAAAAACTTTTACTACAACTTATTTGTAAATTGTTTGTTGTCATATAATTTGTACATTTAATTAATAACTTTAACAACATTTCAATATATTATAATAATAGTACATTACTATCTCTCTATGATAATAGCATAAATCCAACATTACCCCACTTTCCCACTACACCACTACCCCCATATACAAGGTTTTTAAAAATAATAAATGCCTGCCCTAGCAATACCCAAATATAATAGATGCCATAAATGTCTTTATATAAATGTATAATTAAAAATAGAAATATAAGTTAAATAATATTTACTAAAAAAATTAATGTCTTTCTTTACATCACTATAGTAGTCATCTAAATGTTTTTCGGTCGTACAATGATTGACACGTAGTCAACGACATGCGGTACACGTGTTGTTGTTGTTTAGATAACGAGGACAATGATTGATGACTTGTAGCTGCCATACGAACTACTGTACCAAAAGATATATTGATTGTACGGCTATTTATTGCCAACCGTTTTGCCAAATGTGTTGCTTTTTTTATGTTATTAATATTTTCCAAAGCATTTTTGACAAATAAAAAAATATTTAATTTATTTTTTTTTAATAAAATATCTATAAAAAATTGTCACAACAAAATTAATATTATTATATTAAACAATTTTTTGTTTGTGAAATAAAGTTTTATCTGAAATCAAGTGCTATGTTATGAATAGAAAATTGTAAATAAAAATAAAAATAATACAATTAGATATTTATAATTGAAATATTTAAAATATTTGAATGGTTATGTATATAAAATATATTAATTTAAATATTTTATATAATTTATGAACATTTCAGTCTAAACAATCTCAATAATAATGAGTTATTTGATGTATTGTCCAAAAAATTAATAATATTTAGTCTATTATTTTGTACATAAGTTGGGTCACAATCCCATCGATGTTGACATTCAATGACCTGCTGTATGGACGGCCTAACAGTGTAGACGCCGTGTGTCATATTGTTTTGCAATTGTTTCAATGAATTGATTTTATCGTCCAATACTGTTAAAGGTTTTATACCAACATTAACACTATGACTGCTCATTGAGTCCTCGTTGGCCACAAAATTATCAAACAAATTGCGTAATACAACTCCCAAACTATAGATATCTGCTTTGACACCACTGGCTATACCTTCCGGTGCCATATAAGCAGGAGTACCGCCCGTCGCAGCTAAATGTACAGTATTTTCGTGAACCGCAAGTCCAAAGTCGCATATCTTGCATACAATAGTTGACGGCTCCGATAGTCTAATCAATATGTTTCTCGGTTTGAGATCCAAATGCAATATTACCGGACTTTGTGTATGCAAATAGTTGACTCCCTGTGCTATCTCTTTGAACAATTCACAGGCAATGAACCAATGATACAGTTGAAGGATCGGATGATTTTCAATAGACTGTCTATTGTTTTCCAAATTTTTATAATACAATAATTTGATCATGGTAATTAAATCGTACAACGATGCATCAGCTATGGGCATTTTGATGCACAGGTAGTTTCTAAGTACAATTGGACTACTGGTCTCATTATTTTCATAATAAATACTGTTTTTACTGATTTTTTCATTTTCAATCCAATGATGTTTATAGTCAATAATATATGGTGAATCTAATTTTACCATGGTACATAACTCATTTATACCTTAAATTACAAAAATAAAAATATTAATATACAGTATATTTTTTTAATAGTGAATTTGATAGTATCTGACCATAAATGTCCAAAATTTTAATTGCAAATAAATGTTTTGTTAATTTTTCCAAACATTTGATGACTACACCAAAACCACCCTGTCCAATTATATCTATTATTTCATAGTTATTAAATAATTCACTGTTTTCTTTATACAATACTATTGAAGGTCGACCTGTATTGACGTTAATTTCATACAATTGATCAGGATGCAATACACAATTATTATTATCATTATTATTACAATTTTCGTTTAAATATGATAAATGTGAATTTTGTTTAAATGTAATTTTATGATCAAGTGTATCATAACCCAGGTCATTTAATTGGCCAGGTAGATTTGTTGTTGTATTTTCTATATTAGCTATTTTTGTATATGAATTTATATTATTATTATTACTTAGATGATTATCATTATTATTATGTTTGTTGCACACTATTACTAGTTTATCTAAATAAACAACAAAAACAAAAAAAATTATATCATTAAAAATTAATATGAAAATAAACATAAAAAATTTTTAAACCTACCATTACTGTAGTCAGTTATTAATGTTAATGATTTTTGTTTGCGCCAATTAAACATAACTACAACAATAATAATAATATTTGTCGACATTGTCATAGCACCAAAAAATAATATTATCACCATATTGTTCATCATCATTATATTACCAGTATCATTTTCATTAAATTCAATGTATCCAGATTGATTTGAGTTAATTACAATAAAAGTATTATTTTTTACTTTAATACGATTTCTAATGGTTGACATTAATGATATTTTTGATGGAAACTTTTTGTGATTGTTTTTTGTTTGGCTAATGTTTTCATACATTGCTAGTTAAAAATATTAAATATAAACAGTGTAAATTATTTTTATTTTTACATATCATAAAGTCTAATAATTTTTTTAATCATAAATACTACTCTAATTTATAAATAAGATAATATTATGCAAATAGATATATTTTAATCATTTATTAATATATAAAATAAGTTATATATAAATAAATAAAAGTACTTACAATTAATATATACAGTTTTTGTTGATGTTTTTAAGTAATTGTTTGATTTTATTGAAGTCGATGGATAATCTATAATACAAATTTACGATTTACTAATAATTTATTTTTAAATAATTTAATATCTCACCTATTATAGATGCTGCTGCTGTTAATGATGCTCCTACTAATCCTAAATTATTTTTCATTGCACCAAAAAACCAATTTATAATATAATTGGTTTGTATTATATACATATTATTATTAATAGTATCAATTATATTAGGTCTATTTATTTCAACACATAAATCATAATATTTTTTTAATTTATTATTATTATTATTATTATTATTAATGTTTTGTTCAATATGGGCACTTTTGTTATTTGGGAAATAATTTAAACAATGTGCCAGATTAGTTAATAGTCCTTGATCACTTGATAATTTTAGTGAACTTGGTGGTATATTTTCAATAGGCAAACACATACATGACTGGCCCATAGAGTGACCAATTGTTTTTAATATAAATATATAATCTTGACAATACTGATTGTCCAGACAATTCAATTTGTTTTGTAACAAATAAATTAAAAATAACAATAAAGATAGTTTAGAATACATTATGAAATTTATTTAAATAAAAAAACTTATTATTATCGTTTATTGTTGTTGTTTTTTAAAAATTAATTTATGTTAAAATGAGCTATAGTTTAGCTTAATTTTGATAATTTCAATTACACTTGAAATTATAAATTATTAACAATTTTGTAAGTCTTATTATTTTATAATAACTTATATATTTTTGTTGTAATAGTAATAATCACAAATAAAATTATTAAACAAAATTTATTTTTTTAAATCATATAAAATTATCTAAATTAACTAAAATTAATTATTAATTTGATTTTTTAAAACTACAAATAAATTAGATTATTTATAATAAAATATATTTTTTAAAATTATAACAGTTAAACTCTACACTTATTAAACAATGAAATTAGATATTACTAAATATATAAAATTGTTATTATTTCATAATAGTGTAATTGTTATCAGATAATAAAATAAAAATTACAGTAAAATTATTATTAATTTACTATTAAAAACTATTCAATTTAATTAATATTTTAATAATATTTTATTTAATTGCATTTTTACATTGATTAAAAGTTTTTCGTGTTATCAGTTAGTTAATGTTTGTTTATTAATATTAAATTTAAAAATAAATAAATTTTATTATACACTTAAAAGACGATATAAATTTTTATACATAATTACAATTTATTATTTTGTTATTAATTAATATATTTGAATGTATTTTTGTTATCTACTAAAAATGTTATCTAAAAATACTGTAAGAAAGTAGTAAAGGTAACAATAGTTACAGTTACTAAATGTTTTATATAGATTTATTCATACCAACAAAAATATTGATGACATTTCTACTTAATACTATAAAAACATTAATATTTTAAATATTATGCTAAAATATCATAGTTATAACAAAATTAATGCCGTAATAAAATACTTAATTAGATTTTTAACATAATGTTAAATCATATGAAATTATAATTTATATACAAAATAAATATATTTAAAAAAAATTAGTTTAGATTGCATTGACATTTAAGTCTAAACAATTTCAATAGTAACTGATTGTTAGTAACGGTTAACATAGTAATGATATTTTCTCTATTGTTTAGCACATTATTTCTATCGCAATCCCATTCCTGTTGTTTATTAATGATTTGTTGTATTAATGGTCTTTTATTATACATTCCGTGTGTCGTAATGTTTAGCATTTTTTTCAGTTCCTGTATCTGTTTGGACTGTATTGACATCAAATCAACACTCAGTCTTAACGAGTGACTACTCTTAGAGTCGTTGCGCTTAACATTTTGAATGCTTATTGAATCCTCATTTGCAACAAAATGGTCAAACAGATTGCGTAATACTACACCAAAACTAAAGATGTCTGCTTTAACACCACCAATCAGACCTTCTGGTGCCATATAAGCTGGAGTACCGCCCGGTGCTAACTGTTTGGCCGGTTTTTTGTCCACACTGTCCTCCTCTTTAATGTAGTGGACGGCGAGTCCAAAGTCGCAGATTTTACACACAATAGTCGACGGTTCAGAAATTAATATCAATATATTTCGTGGTTTGAGATCTAAGTGAAGTATTGGCGGTATCTGTGAGTGAAGATAATTGATTCCCTGAGCTATCTCTTTGAACAATTCACAGGCTATGAACATATGATGCAATTGTGCGACCATTTTATTATTGTAATTGTATAATGATTTGAGCATGGTTATCAATTCATGTAACGATCCATTAGCCAGATCCATTTTGATGCACAGGTACTTATTGATGCTAATTGTGTTTGTGTTATCATTGTTAACATCAGGAGTAGTATTTAAAGTAGTTTCCGACTCGATATTATCATTTTCAATCCAACTGTGTTTATAATCAATAATAAAGGGTGACTTCATTGCAACCAATGTTTTTACCTCATTTAAACCCAGAACTACAATAAAAAATAAAATCATTAATCGTTAAAAAACTTAATGTAAAAAGTGTAAAATTTTTACCATTTTTTCTAATAATTTTAACGGCAAATTCATGTTGCGTTAATTTTTCCCTGCATTTCATAACAACCCCAAAACCACCCTGTCCAATTTTTTCAATAATAACATAATTGCGAAATAATTCAGAATTATTTTTAGACAACACTATCTCTGGCTTTCCATTATCCATAGGAATTCTATAAAATTGATCATGGTCAATTAAAGATACTATTTGTTGTTGTTGTTGATTGTTTAATGTTTGTTGATTTTCTAATACTTGTTCAATTGGTGCCGGTATGTTGTCTGTATAGTTAAGTACTGTTCCTTTTATGACTATATTATTAGTATTATTATTAATTTCATAACTTTGTTCTTCAATTGTGTTTTCATCTGTAAGTAATCCTCTCTGTTCTGTTGGTAAATCTTGTTGTTGTTGTTGTCGAGGAATAGTATGTATTTCTACCGATTCTCTTGTATTCAAGTCCTGTCTATTATTATTATTGTTAGGCATTAATCTCATAAATCGATTATTTTCTATTAGTAAAAAAATTAATTATTAACTTTTAAAACTATCTATTTATTTAATTAATATATACGGAATACTACTCATAATAAATATTACCATTTTCACTGTCATTGTCATTATTATTATCATTATTATTAGTATTAGTATTATTATTATTATAATTTCTAGTATTAATATTATTATTAAATATTTTGTTAGTTATATATCTATAAGAAACAAATGAAATAACAACAAACAAAACAAAACATAGTATATAAAATCCATATGAAATCCATATGAGATTATTATGATAATCATTTGGACCATTAGTTTTATTTTCTTGTAAATTAACATCAAATTTATTGTTTGAATTTGAATCCGTCTCAACACTTCCAGTATTTAAAGATTCAATTGTCGTCTCTGACGCTAATGTATAGTCATTTTTATTAGAAGTATTATCTTGTGTTAGTTCATCTAAAAAATATTAAATTTTTTATTGAAAAATAATCTATTAAATAGCAAAAAATATATATTACATTAATTATACTTAAAAGTACTTACTTGACTCAGTAGGTATTGTTAATGATTTAGTAATAGTAGTTTGTGTTATTAGTTTAATTATCGGCTTAATAGTGTTGACAAGTTTACTGGTAAAATACGGATTATCCATACAATCATATGTACCATCAGTACCATGGTCATTTATATGAGCTAGTATCTCATTATTATAGCAACTATGGGTTATATTTGTGTAAACACCATTGCGAGTTAAATTAATTTTAATGATTGGTAAACAATAAGCTATTAGATTATGTTTAACACATTGGTATTTAGTTGGACAGTCCTTATCCCGTCGGCAATTAGTATACTCATTAAAATGTCGATACTGTTTATAACATGTTTGCATATCGTAATTATCATGCACATTTTTAACTAAACATGTACATATTATACCCAAAATAAGTTGTCGATAATTAATGTCATTGTCAAACCAGGTACATACCGGTGCTTTATATTGAAGTTCATGATCACACGGTCTCATTGACATTACTACCTGTTCATCGATGTGCACCCTTTGACACATACATGTGTGTCGCCAGCAAATTGTGTAACCAAATTGATTGTATTTAATCTGACAGTCAGTATTGTTGTCACAATTAATAGTATCCATGTAATAACTTGAAAAATAATTTATATTCAAAGCCGATAAAATTAAAAATATTTTAAAGATCATTGTTTTAAAAATATCACAATTTATCAAATGAAATTCAGTCATGTTTAATTAGATATAAATAAATAAAATAAGTAAAATGTAAATAAATAAAAATAATATGAAGCTAAATTATTATGACTTGATTTGTATTTTTTTCTATTATTAATATAGTTTTATATATACAGTATATAGTATTATTAAGACAATGTACTGTATAAGTCATTAGCAATAAAATATATTATATATTTTTGGTATAAAGATATATATGTCATCTGACACTATGACAGGTATTTTATAGCTATAAATTGCATCAATATTAATGTTAAAGTAGATTAGTAGAGAATATTATATATATATAAAACTATAACTTCAATATATATTATTAATGTTAAATAAATATATTTTTCAAAATTATAATAAATAAATAAATTGATTTAAGAAAATATTGAAACCTTAAATAATTAACTTTTAATAAAAATTTTATTTTTATAAAAAATAGTAGTATCAAAATTATATTTATCACATTTAAATAACAAATATATTATTATTATTTCTATTTAACATTAGTTCGAAAAAAATTTAGATATTATAATATTTGTTTTTTATATTATAATATTTGAGTAATTTATTAAATAGTAGCATATAATTAGATTATCTAATTACTTATAAAAATAATAAATGTCTCTTAGTAACTAATATAAAAATATATTATTGAAAATATATTTTTATATATCTTTAGTTAGTGTTATTAATGTTAAGAGTAATCATTTCAAGTGTTTATTGAATATTATTTATATTAATGTTTTCATTGAATGTTTTGTCATACTGTCATATGTCTATACTGTTTAATAGTATAGATGCTTACAATCAATGCTAGTTTTGTAACTTTTTGATACAATGAATGTGTTTTTATAAATCAATTTTGAAAAATATAATAAGAATAATATTATGATTTTAACATTCATTTTTTAAAATTTTTTTTATTTTGTTAATTTTTATAAAATATTTTTTATTGAAACAATTATTTTTTAATATCTAAATCACAAATTAATTGTTAATAATATTTGTTAAATAATTAAACTGAAACTTTAATAGCATTTATATACATGAATACAATACTTTATTATGCACTCTATGATGAAAAATAGTATTAATGCAATTATTTATTATTGTAATAATTAGCTTTAAATATTGTTAATTATCAATTGACTATATACTGTATATATAAAATTTTCTTCTTATTATTATTAGATTATGTACAATAAAAATTATAATATTGATTTACTAATTTATTCAAGTTATTTTTAGTCTCAATTTTATAATTGTTTTATTAATATTATATAATAGTTATTGTTTTAAACATTTACGATAATCAAATATATATTTATAAATGTGATATATTAAGATTAAAAACTGTTTAATTTTTTATGAAAAATACTAGAATTAAAACTAATTTTTTAAACTAGTTTTTTTAGATTAACTTCTACTTTAAACTAATAAATAAAAACATAAAATATTATTAAGTATATTCTTAACTATAGTATTGTTTAAATTACTATAAAGTAAATATTAATTTATTATACATCTTAATTTTTTTTTATTAAAAACATTCAATACAAATTATATACTGTATATAAAAAATGAAATAAATCACAAAACATAAAAATATTTACTAAATATTATTTATAAAGTATTAATATCAATGTTTTTTGTTTAATAAATTATATATAATTTATACATAATTAAAGTTTATTTTTCTAATAACTAAATTACTGTAGTTGAAAGTAATTTTGTTATCTTAAAATATGTAACACTAAATAAAAGTCTACTACATTGTCAAACATACAAAACTTATATTTAATGATTGTTAATAATATTAATATTTTATTAATTAGTAAAAGATTATAATAAAATGTATTATAAATTAATTGAAAAAGTTTTTCGAGTATTATAGTAATTTAAGTCACATTAATAATATTGCTGAATCATTAACATTACAGTTTTAATAAAAACTGCAAATTAACTAAAATTATATTAACAATAATAAATTCATAGTAATATTTATATATCCCAGTGATATTAAGCCTAATTGATAAGTTTAACAAATTTATTATTATCTACAACAACTAAAAATTATTTTAATTATTTATTTAGTAAATTTTTAATAACTTTAATTAAGCAGACTATGGATAAAAAGTTGATAATATTGTTTCTGCCCCATAACGGTATCGGTCATATAAACTCGGCTATAGGTATGGCACAGGTATTGATCGAAACGGGACATGAATGTTGGTTAGGTATTAGCGACCAGTGGACAGGTTATCTGAAAAAATATACAACTATTAAAAAATATGTATGGCCTTCGTATGATTATAAAGATAGTAGTAGTAGTAGTAGTAGTGATGTCAAAAAAGATAGTAATAGTGTTGAAAATTATGCCAAATTTTTTATGAGATTAGGTATTATTGGAAACCAATTGACACCAATGGAAAAAATTATTGTAATGGGAAAAGTAATCCTTAGACGACTGGCCAATAAAGAGGAAAAGTTATTAGACATGAATGTTGATCGAGCCATACGATGGATACAACCAGATGTCATACTATATGATCAATATATTACACTATCATCGATAGTAAAGTCAAATATACCCTGGATTAAGGTGTGCACTACTAATCCGCTAACTGTGCTCAAGGATGATAAGATACCACCACCATTTTTAGGTAATTAATATAATAATAATAAAATTTTAAAATAATAATAATTTAGTTAATTTAGCTATTATTACTAATTTTACAATACTTTTTAAGGTTTACCAACAAATGGGTCTTACATTGAGTGGAAAAATATTAAAATCAATATTATTCGAGAAATAGTTGAAAATTATAAATTGTTTATTTATAAAATGAATTCAAATGAATTACAATTGTTTGATAAGTTGTTATTTCCGAAGTCAAACCATCTAAATATATATGACTTTCCATTGGAATTGGATTATCACGACATAAGACCACTGAACGACAATTACTATCGTTTTGATAACTTTATGAGAAAAGACATCAGTAGTGAACCGTTTGAATTGCCGGTACAATTGAAGGACAAACCGGGAAAAGTTATTTACTTTTCAATGGGATCTATGGGTGCGGTAGATGTCAATAATATGAAGCGTTTCATTGTTATATTAGAAAAATCTAAAAACCTATTCATAGTATCAAAGGGACCGTTAGGTGATAAGTACGATCTGTCGGACAATATGTGGGGTCAGCCAAGTGTACCGCAAACACAAGTCCTGCCATTAGTTGATTTGGTTATAACTCACGGCGGAAACAATACTATTACTGAATGTTTTTACTTTGGAAAGCCTATGATAGTTATGCCACTGTTTTTCGATCAGTACGATAACGCACAGAGAGTCCATGAAAAAGGGTTTGGTATACGACTCGATGCCTACATGTGCTCTGGAGTTGAGTTATTGTTAGCCATCGAAACACTTTTGGCAAACAAATCTTTGACAACAAAATTGCAAAAAATATCGCAAAGAATTCAAACTGAAAACAGTTTAACAAAATTACCGCAACTTTTGGAAAGTTTTGTCGAAAATAATCGTTTCAAACAAAATCCTAAAACAGATTTCAGTTGTCAATTACTTTAATATTATTTATCCTAAAATAAAATAAAATCATTTTTTTAGTTTTTATTGTAATATTGATTTATTTGATAAAAATCTGTTTTATAATTTACTGACATTTACTGTATTATAAACTGAATGTAATTTTATTTTAATTTCTGGACATTTAAGTCTACAAATTTTAATACATAGTAACTGTCGTACAGTCTCTAATTGATTGTTAGTATCGGTTAAAAATTAACCTTAAAATATTTATAATATTTTACCTATTAATAGCTATAATCAATGCTATTGAAACATAAATGTTGAAATATTATGCTATGAATATACTAAAATTAAGTATATTTGTAACATTATAGTATTTATAAATAACATTTTGTAAATTATAAATTCAATAGATTATTCTCAATTAATTTAAAATAATAAAATACTACAATATTTAAGTTATAATTTTTTAGTATTAGAGATATAAATAGTTAGTTAATTACATTTATATTAAAGTTATTCATAAACATATCTCAATAAAATTAATAATATATACTGTAAATTAAACTATTGTACAATATTATTAATATTATAAAACTATACAAAATTAGTATTTAAAAAAGATCAAATTGTTGGACATTTAAGTTTAAACAATTTCAATAATAACTGATTGTTTGTTTCATTCAACATATTTATAATATCTAACTGTCTATTCCTCACATGTTTTTGATCGCAATCCCAGTGTTTTTGCATTTCAATGATTTGTTGTATAGACGGTCTACTATTATACACTCCGTGTGTCATATTATTATACAACACTTTCAGTTCGCTTATCTGTTTCGACAAAATTGGCAACAAATTAACGCTCAATCCTAACGGTTGACTACTCTTAGACTCATCGCTTGCCACAAAATGGTCAAACAAATTGCGTAATACAACACCAAAACTATAGATATCTGCTTTGACACCACCCACCAGACCTTCCGGTGTCATATAGGCTCTCGTACCGCCCGGTGCTAACTGTTTGGGTGATTCATTGGGTGTCTGACTGTCTTTCTTAATGTAGTGAACGGCGAGTCCAAAGTCACATATCTTGCATACAATAGTCGACGGTTCAGAAATCAATATCAATATATTTCGTGGTTTGAGATCTAAGTGCAGTATCGCCGGTGTCTGCGAATGAAGATAATTGATTCCCTGAGCTATCTCTTTGAACAGTTCACAGGCTATGAACATATGATGCAATTGTGCGGCCATTTGATTATTGTAATTGTATAATGATTTGAGCATGGTTATCAATTCATGTAACGATCCATTAGCCAGATCCATTTTGATGCACAGATATTTATTTATGACAATTGTGTTTGTCTTAACATCAGTAGTAGTATTTGGATCAGTTTCCGACTCGATATTATCATTTTCAATCCAACTGTGCTTATAATCAATAATAAAGGGTGACTTCATTTCAACCAATGTTTGCAACTCATTTAAACTCAAAGCTAAAAATTAAACAATAAGTTTTTTTATTATAATTATATTTAATAATTATTAAAAATAAATGTCTACAAAAACCTGTGTACCAGTTTTTCTAATAATTTTAACGGCAAATTCATGTTGTGTTAATTTTTCTCGGCATTTCATAACAACCCCAAAACCACCATGTCCAATTTTGCTAATAATAACATATTTGCGATACAATTCCGATTGTTTTTTACACAATAATATATCTAACTTTCCATTTACATTGATTTTATAAAATTGATCATGATTAGTTAATGATTGTTGTAGTTGTTGTTGTCTTTGTGTTGTATATTGAGTTAATTTTTTTGCATTATTAGTTTGATTCAATCCATTTGATGTTATTTCTGGTCTATTATTATTGTCACTGTTTTGATATATCTCTGATAACAATGTTTCTTTAAGTATTTTTAATCAAAAATAATAATTAAATAAAATTAAATATATTAATAATTATAAAACTGACCTCTCTGATTATTATAAGTGCTACCATTATTATTAGTATTAAAAAAATTATTTATACTTTTATATTTAACAACAATGATAACGATAACAACTATTACTATTAGTAAAAGCTGTATAATCCATATGATACTACTAAATCCATATGAAATCATATAATTTTGATAATCAATTGAATCATTAGTTTTATTTTTATGTAAATTAATATCAAAATCATTGTTTAAATTTGAATCGGTTTCAAAACTTTGTTCCGTAATTAACGATTCAGTTGTCGTGTCTGTCACTAATGTATATCTTTTTTTATTATCAATATTATCATCTGATAATATAATAGATATACGAAAAGTTTTATTAAACAAAAATTAGTTTATTAAAAAATAAGTTTATTTAAATTACAATATTATTTACTTGGATTTGTAAGTGTTGTTGCTGACGTAGTTAATTGATCTAGGCAATTTAATTTAAATAAAAATAATTATTTTTTAAAATTTAATATAAAATATATTATAACTTACTTGTCTTTATAGGTAGTGTTAATAATGTTGTAATAGTACTAATAGTAGTTTGTTTTATTAGTGTAATAGTCGGCTTAATAGTGTTGACAATTTGTGATATAAAATAAGGATTATCCATACAATCATATGTACCATTAATACCATAATTATCAATATTAGCCAGAATTTTATTATTATAGCAATTTTCGGTTATATTAGTGAAAACATTAGTATTGGTTATATTAAGTTTAATATCAGGTAAACAATGTGTAAGTTGATTATGTTTAACACATCGGTATTTATTGGGACAGTCTCTATCACTCAGGCAATCATTATATTCATTAAAATGTTGATATTGTTTGTAACATGTTTCTAGATTATAGTTATCATGGACATTTTTAACCAAACATGTGCACATCATACCCAAAATAAGTTTTCGATAATTGATGTCATTGTTAAACCAGTTGCATACCTGTGCTCTATATTGAACTTCATGCGAACATTTACTAAATAACATGGCTTTTGGTTCATAATTTTGTACCCTTAGACACATACATATATGTCGCCAACATGTTGTGTAACCCAATTGACTGTATTTTAGTTGACAGTCATTATTATTATCACATTCGGCTGTATATATGATGGCCGCATAACAATTTAAAAATAATTTAATATATGAAACAGATATTAGCAATAAAATTGAAAGTCCAACTATAGCTTTTTGATTCATATTGAAAACTTCAATTAAAAAAAACTATTATTATTATATTTATTGTAATTATTAACAATTTATTATGCACTTTATATACCAAAAGAAAACATAATTACATTTAATATACAATTTTTTATTTACAGTGTAAGTTAACAATTGAATTATTTAATTATGTTATTATAATTAAAATGTTAATATTCATATATATAAATCAAATTCATATTTAAAAAATTATATATATATATATAGTTACAATTTAAAGCAAAAAATTGAATTAAATTTGAAAACAGTATTTAAAAATGCGTTGTCATTACTTATCACAGTTTACTGTATTAAATAAAAATCATAGTATTCATGTATTTATATAATGCTTTATATTTCATCAATGTAAATATTTAATAGATAACTTATTGAAAAATAATAATACAATTATTACGTTTTCTATTTGTTACATATAAAATAATTAATTATTAATTAATTAATTAGTAATATTATTAAGAATTAATTTAGATTTAAATGAAATTACTAAAGTATATTATTATCAAGTTTTAAAACTGTAAAATTTATAACATTTTTAACATAAATTTCTTTTACTTATTAAAAAAAGTATAATTTTGATTAAAGTACTGGAATTTCCTTCTTTTAGAAGAAATTCCTTAATAAATTTACTTTAATTTTTCCAGAAAATAAAAATAAAATTTTATTTGCTCTCTCTTATCATTAGAAAGAAAAAACACAATTCAAATATTTAATAAATTTAATGATATTAAAAAATATTGTATTTATTTAACTTTTTAAAAATATATACTTATTAATTTTTGTTTTAAAAGTTTATTATGTATAATTAATATTTAAAAATATTTATGCTAAGTGATTTTGCAATAAATTAGTTAAATTATTTATATAAAATTTTTATTTATATTATTTATACATTATAATAGTTTATTATTTTGTTGTTAATTAATAATAATATAGCTATCACAAATATAATAATTTAACACTAATAATGTTATATTGTATATGAGTTATTTATATTACATTTTCAAGGATAAAAAATCATTTAATGATTTTTATAATAATGTATATATATCTATCTATTATTGTAATACTTTTTTTAAATTAATAATAGTAATATTTTATTAAATTTATTACTTGTAATTTTGTATCATTTAATTTGATTATTTCTTTAAAAATATTTATTCCAAATAATTTTATTTATTATTTTATTATTAACAAAATATTACTTTTTATTACCTAATAATTTTTTATTTATATAATTATATTATACTCGGCTAAAAAGTGAATAAAACTTTACAAAATTAATAAATAAATATTTAAGTTATACATATATATATATATATATATATATATATATATTTCATATTTGTTGTTATATTTCACATTTTATATAGATTTATTCAACAATAAGAAATTTCATAACAAAAATAATACCATAATTTAATTGTACTTACAATTAGTTAGTTACAATTAAATACATGCAAATATACAGTACCGTACATACAAAATAAAAACTTAAAATGATTAATTTAAATTGAATTGACATTTAAGTCGAAACAATTTCAATAGTAACTGATTGTTAGTATTGGTTAACATATTAACAATATCTTGTCTATTGTTTAGCACATGATTTCCATCGCAATCCCATTCCTGTTGACTATTAATGATTTGTTGTATAAATGGTCTAATATTATACATTCCGTGTGTCATATTGTTAAACATATTTTTCAGTTCTTGTATCTGTTTTGACAATATTTGAAATAATTGGTCGCTTAGTACTAATGATTGATTACTCTTTGACTCGTCATTGGCCACAAAGTGGTCAAACAAATTGCGTAATACAACACCAAAACTATAGATGTCTGCTTTGACACCACCCTCCAGACCTTCCGGTGCCATATAGGCTCTCGTACCGCCCGGTGCTAACTGTTCGGGTGATTCATTGGGTGTCTGACTGTCTTTCTTGATGTAGTGAACGGCGAGTCCAAAGTCGCAGATTTTACACACAATAGTCGACGGTTCAGAAATCAATATCAATATATTTCGTGGTTTGAGATCTAAGTGAAGTATTGGCGGTATCTGTGAGTGAAGATAATTGATTCCCTGAGCTATCTCTTTGAACAGTTCACAGGCTATGAACATGTGATGCAATTGTGCGGCCATTTGATTATTGTAAGTGTATAAAGATTTGAGCATGGTAATTACTTCATGTAACGATCCATTAGCCAGATCCATTTTAATGCAAAGATATTTTTTCAAGATAACTGTGTTTGTATTATTATTATTGTTAACACCATTAGTAGTATTTAAAACAGTTTCCGACTCGATATTATCATTTTCAATCCAACTGTGCTTATAATCAATAATAAAGGGTGACTTCATTGTAACCAAGGTCTTCAACTCATTAATACCCAAAACTACAACAACAAAAATAAAACTATTAATTATTAAAAAAATAATTAAATATAAAAAACCTGTGTACCAGTTTTTCTTATAATTTTAACTGCAAATTCATGTTGTGTTAATTTTTCCTTGCATTTCATAACAACCCCAAAACCACCATGTCCAATTTTACCAATAATCTCATACTTGAGCCATAATTCTGAATCAATTTTAGACATTACTATATCTGGCTTTCCATTATCCATATGAATCCTATAAAATTGATCATGATCATTTAGAGGGGCTAATTGTTGTTGTTGTTGCTGATTGTTTAATGTTTGTTGATTTTCTAATACTCGTTCAATTGGTGTCGTTATGTTGTTTGTAGGGTTGAGTACTTGTATTATTAAATTATTATTTATGCCATTAGTTTGTTCGTGAATTAAGTTTTTATTAGAAAATGGTGTCATTTGTTCTGTTGGTATAACCTGTTGTTGTTGTTGTGGTTGAAGAGGAGGTATAAGAAGTAATTGTGACAATTCTGTTGACTCATTATTTTGATTTAATTCATTTCTATTATTATTATTATTTTTATTATGTATTTTTACAATCAAATCTTGATTTTCTATTAGTAAAAATTAAATAATAATTTATTAGTTTTATAAGATTTTTATAAATATTAATTATAAATATTCTTACCATTTTCATTATTATTGTTATTATTATTTCTAATAGAAATAATATTATTACTTATACTTTTACACAAAACATATATAATAATTACAATAGCCATTAAACATAGTGTTATAGATATATAACAAATAAAATTATTTTCATTACTAATGAGATCATTAGTTTTATTTTCTAGTAATTTAGTATCAAATTCAATGTTTGTATTTAATTTTGGTTCAACACTTTGTCCAGTATTTTGCACATTATTTGTCGATTCAGTCACTATTTTAGCTTTAATATTATCATCAGATTGTTGTTCTAAAAAAAGTTTATTTTTAAAAAAAATCAAATCAAATTTATTATTATAAATATCTTACTTGACTCTATTGTTATTGTTGATAGCGTATTAATAGCAGTAGTAGTAGTAGTAGTAGTAGTAGTAGTAGTAGTAGTTTGTGTTTTTAATTTAATTGTTGGCTTAATAGTGTTGACAATTTGATATGTAAAATAAGGATTAATCATACAATCATATGTACCACTATTACCATGATCATTTATATCAGCTAGAATCTCATTATTATAGCAACTATTTGTGATATTAGTATAAACATCATAACGCGTCAAATTAAGCTTAATATTTGGTAAACAATAGGTTAATAGATTATGTTTAATACACCTGTATTTAGATGGACAGTCTCCATCGCGCCGGCAATCATTATACTCATTAAAATATCGATATTGTTTATAACACGTTTGCAGATCGTATTTATCATTCAAGTTTTTAACCAAACACGTGCACAGTATACCCAAAATAAGTTGTCGATAATTAATGTCATTGTCAAACCAGGTACATACCGGTGCTCTATATTGAAGATCATGTAGACATGGTCTCATTGACATAGATATATGTTCATCGTTATGCACCCGTTGGCACATACATGTGTGTCGCCAACACATTGTGTGCCTATTTTGACTGTATTTGATTTGACAGTCATTGTTGTTATCGCAATCATTTATAAAACTGTTATTTGTATAATAATTTGGCCATTGATTTATAAATACAATTACTAATAAAATTAAGTACGAAATACTTGCGTTTTGATACATAAATCATATATTAATAATTAATTATCACATTTTCTAAAATAAAATATCTAATTATTAACTTTTTATTGAGTATTATGTTTGATATAATATACACTAACTATTAATCATATTGTAATTGTAAACATTATTTAATTGTAAGATTTTTTTAAAAAAAAATAACAATAATATAAATCACAATTAAATTTAGTTAACAATTTAACATACTACAATATTTAGTAAATTTTTTTATTAAAAAATAAATAAATACTTAGTATCTAATCATATGTAAAGCTATTGTCAATAAAAATATTTTACTATAAAAAATTAAACCAATTAAAAAACTTATTTATCATAATTTATTACACCATAACTATTATCTATTGCTATATTATTATTACAATTCATATAAAATTAGTTTACATCAATATTAATTTTTGATTTTGAACACTAGAAACACATATTTTAAATTAAAGTAAAATTACACTAATATTAAACTATACTAATATTTAAGATTCAACAAATATAAATTAATAGTTATATTAAATAACATAAAATTTATTTTCAGTATATTTATGAAAATAATTACAAAAATCTTTATCAGTAAAATATATTACAATTATAAATACTATAATTTTGTAATAAGTTTTAATATATTGCACAAAAGCACAAAATCATTTACAAACAATAAAATATTTTTTTTAAATGTCAATAAAAAATGACTAAAATAACTGTATTAAACTTTGCGCTCAAATAATACAATAAAACAAAAGTTTTTCAATAATTAGTATAAAGCTTTATATGATTTTTTATATCATATTATTCAATATAATATATTATATACTGTATTGTATATAAATATATTATGAAAGCAATCATATATTTTGTTTGTTTGTTTGTAAATGATTTTGTGCTTATATTTATATAATAAAAATTTAATATATTTTATTCAATAATATGTCATTTGGTGTAAAATTTTTAAAAATTGTAATCTTCATTTGTATTATGTACTTGACTTTAAGGATCTACTATAAAAAAATTAAATAAAAATAAAAATTTATTAAATAGATTTATAGATACCTTGATTAACTCCATCATAAGTAATATTTCTTTTACATAAAATATTAATTAAATATTTATGATTTATAGTAAACATCAATATTATGAATAAAATAAATAATCCAACAACAAAAATAAATAAACTTTTTAATACTGTACATATTATACAGTTATTATTATTTGAGTTAGTTAGTTGATTATTTTTATTTTTAAATTTTTCATCCACTAATTTTGTTAAATTTTGATTGCTATCAATAATATTTGATGAATTAATTAGGGTTTCATCAAAGGTAATTATTGTAGAAGAGATAGCTGTAAAAATAAATTACTAATATTAATAAAATTTTATGTAAATTTTTATGATAAAATACTAACATTTACATTTATTACATTTAATTGATATATTTGATTTTGTTTGTGAGTTTAATAATTTAATAGGATTATCACTAATCAGATTCCATTTGACATATTTATTATTCAGACAATTGTATGGATCATTAAAATCATTAATTTGGTTTAAAATTAATAAATTATTAGAACAATAATTAAAAACATTAAAATTTTCAACATTTTTGATTAAAATTGTTGGCCAACAATGTGTTTGTAAGTTACTATAATGACATTTAAAATTATGTCGACAATCGTTGTTTGCTTTACATGTTTTATGTTCATCAAAATTACGAAATTGTCGATAACAAGTTGGAAATGTGTAATTATTATTTACATTTTTTATGAAACAAGTACATAAAATTCCCATTAGTTGATCACTAAAATTAGTATCATGATGAAATTTGTAACACAATTTAGATTGATATATTTGTTCCGATGAACATGGTAAAATACCTATTTGCATGGGATCATAATTAACATTTAAACAATAACATTCACCATATAAACTGATAGTATAACGGTATTGATGGGAATATAAAAATCGGCAATCATTTGAATTAAAATATTTTTGATTTAATGCCAAATTTTTGTATACAAATAAATTAGTAATTAAATAAAATATAAATAATATACTAGGTTTAAAAATCATTTTATTATATTAGATATTAGAATATATGACAATTTATTTGTGTTACTACTCACTAAATACTCAAATAACTATTTTTAACTAAAAAAATAAATTGCTTTTATTCATTCAAATCAATTATATATTATGATACTTATCTTAAAATGTTTTGTTTTTATATAAGCAAATTATTAATCAAAATTATATAAAAAATATTACTTTTAATCCAACATTAAACTAATAAACAATCTTTATATAATAATTTATGATAAATTACATTATTACAGATTGAAAAGAAATATTTTAGTTAATTTATTAATAAAAATAATAGTTTATCATTAATTGAACCGTCAATATTCTCATTAACTAAGTAAATAAATAATTAGATAATAAAACTTAATTAAATTACTTAATATAATATCTTTAAGAAAAATATTTAATTGGTGTCTACGTGATAAGTGTCTACATTATTTTAACAATTATAATTTGAAAAACAAAACAAAAAAAACTTCAATAGTTTTAAATAAACTTTTTATTGTTATATTTAATCAATGATAAATTATAATTATCATAAATTAATTAATTTAATCAGAATATTAATATATATATATATATATATATATATATATATTACTTTATCTACTTTTATAAAGTATTATAAATTTTTTCTTAATAATAATTTCAATTATTTATATAAAGCACATAAAAATATTTATTTTAAAATATGTATATATTAATAATGGATATAGATATGTACTTATTACACAGAAATTATAAATTATAATTTATTACTATTAAAGTTTACTATATATTAAAATTAATTAACAATAACATCATATATTAAATTATGTTTTTTTACAAATTATAATTATTTAAATTTGTAAAAATACTAACGAAATAATTATAAATCAATATAAAAAGTACTATTAAAAGAAAAATATTTATATTAAAATAATATTACCTCCTGCTCTAAATCTTGCTCTTGCTTATATAACAATTTTCTAAATAATTTTTTTCATAATAAATTCAATAATCAAAATAAACCAATCAAAAATTAAGAAAAAATAATTATTTTTACCAAATAAGGAAAATAAAATCATTAAAGATAGCAGTTATTTTCAGTATTATTTAATCATGAAATTTATTATTATATATAATAAATAACAAATAATTAAGCAATAAAATAATAAATTACAATGATTATTTTAATAGTTTAAGACAAGTGATTTTATCTTAAACTTTGTAACCTAGATAACTTTTTCAAGTGTTTATAAAAAATATTTCATAAACAAAATGAAAAGATTATTTTGAATTTAAGCAAATATATTCTACAATGAAATTGATAAAAACATTTCTATTACAAAATTGTTTTGAGTGAAAGTAAAATAACAAAGATATAAAAGTATAATAAATAAGTTCAATAAAATTTATAATAAAAAACAATTCATTTAATTTCTTTATTTTTGAAAGTATTTAACAGTTTAAGTATGTATTTATCTTTAATTATCATATATTATGTCATCTCAATTAAAAACTATATAATTTTAAATAAACAACATTTATAATTACTGTTTTTATTTTGTAAAATTCAGTTTAAACTGATGAGAAGGCCAACAAAATAATTATATCAAAACCAACAAAATAAACTTTATATTAAAACATAAATAAAAAAAATTACAAATTTAAGATAATTGAATATAATTATTTTTAATAATTAGTAACAAAATATTATTATTAATTATAAAATTTAACAATGATTTAAACTAATTAAATAATAACATATTTTATTACTAATTATATTCAATAAAGCTCTATAAAATAAAATTTAAATATTAATGTTGATTTGCCATTTTGATTGATTAATAAGTTATTTGTTGAATTGATTTTTTTAGTATTTTGTTTTTTAGTAAAAAATTCTTATAATTCTATTGTTAAATTAACTAAGATTAATAAATACAGATATTACTAACAGTATGTATATTACAGATCTTATATATATTTACAGTATTACTAATCATGTAAGTATAGATTTTATTAAATATTAAAAATTATAATAGAAATAAACTATTTTTATAATTTAAATCAAAAAACATAAATATTATAAACTAATTTGTAATTTTTTTGTTATATTTAAATTTTTATAAAATTTTTATATTTTGTTGTATGATATTATTTTGTAGAAACCATTACATTAATACTATTTATAATAAACTCTAATTCTTAATGATCAATCTCTTTTCACTTTTTTGCCACTGATTTATATATATATAATTTATATTTTTCAATTATTATTTTTTTAATAAACCTTTAGTAAATAGTTAATATCTCAATAAGTAAAATGATAAAATAATTTTTAAAAATAAGTGAATGAATAAATATGTTGGTAATTAGTTTATTATTTAAATTTTATAATTTGTTATTGTTACAAAAGTTTAATAATAGTAATAATATTTACAGTATAATACAGTATATACAATATTTTAATTTAACAAAAATAATTAACATTTAACTAATTAATTTTAGTCTGTTTTCACGAACTCCTGAAAGGATTTCGTATATGCATTCTATAAGTCTGTCGGTCTGTCCCTCTGTCTGTCCCTTTGTCTGTCCGGTGTACCACAAGAACATAGGATCGAATCCACGCTCTGCTACACATTTTTTTGAATTTTTTCTTTTTTCAGTTAAGGAGTTCGTACGGAAATGCTTTTATAGCATTCTCAACTGATTTAAAAATAATTTTTTTATATAATAATTTTTATATACTTTTAAAGAAATAATAGTATAAATATAAACAAGTATTAAATTTGTCTTAAATATAATTAGTTAAATTATCTCTACAACTGTAATGCGATTGATTACAATTAATTTGTTCCGTAATATATGAACAAATTTGATTATTAA